TCAACTTGGATTCGTCCTCTTTGAGGAGGATAGACAGGAACCGCCTGCTACTCTTGGGGGCGATCTGTGTTAGTTAGGTTTCTGTTACTGTAACAAATACCAGAGGCAATCAGCTTATAGAGAGAAAAGGTTCATTTTGCTCAGTTTGGAAAGTTTCAGTCCATGGTTGGTTGGGCTCATTGCTTTTTTTTTTTTTTTTTTTTTTTTTGTCTTTTTGAGACAGGGCATTGCTATGCAGTTCAAGCTGGCCTTGAGTTCACTTTGTACCCCAGGCTGGCCTTGAACTTGCAACGATCCTCCTGCCTCAGCTTCCTAAGTGCTGGGATTACAGGCATGCACCACCAGGCCCGACCTGGACTCATTGCTTTTGAGGCTATAGTGAGCAGCAGTTAGGCAGAGTTGTGTTGTAAGGCTGTCACCTCGTGGCCAGGATGCTAAAGAGAGAAAGAAGAAGGGTGTGGGGTCCCACTATGTCCTTCCAGGGGATGGCTCCAGTGACAAGAAGACCTCTCACTAGGACTCACCTTTTAGAGTTTCTACCACCTCTCAACTGCTCTGGTCAGGGGACCAAGCCTTCCTCTCTCCCTCCCTCCCTCGCTTTGGGATACTGGGAGACAGATGTGTGCTCCCCTCCACCCTGCAGGGGTTCTGCAGACTTGTCCAGATAATTATTATTTTTCTTTTTCCTCTGGAGAAGCTTAGCATTTTCTACATTGTCCCCTAAAGCTGCATTAAGATTTCTTCTTCTGGTTTTTTTTTTTTTTTTTGTCTTTTTGAGACAGGGTCTCGCTATGCAGTTTGGGCTGGTCTTGAGCTCACTTCGTAGCCCAGGTTGGTCTCAAACTCACAAAGATTCTCCTGCCTCAGCCTCCTGAGTGCTAGGATTATAGGCATGTGCCACCATATCCAGCTAAAATTTCTTGTTTCACTCATCAGGAAGGCTGTTGCCTCTAGTAGTCCTACTTCCATCTTGGAACTTGGTTTCTTTACTTGATCCTCCCTTCCCTTCCCCTCCCTTCCCCTCCCTTCCCCTCCCCATTCCTTCTGGTTCTTTTCCGTCCTTTCCCTTTATCTTTTGCCAGCTATTCTTCAGCGACTGGGCTTTGTGGTCAATTCTAGTTAGTTGAATGTCTGTCTGTTCTTGCCTCTCTGCTGCCTGATCTACTCCAGGAGAGGCCATCTCTCTTTGAGCATGTCTCACATCTTGTCTCTCTCACAGCTCCCAGAGGTCCTTCGCCGAGGCCCTGTTCTCACAGCTGCGGCTCCCGTGGAGTGGTGGTGGAAAAGCCGAGCTCCTTCGGTTCAGGTTCTTGCAGGCGGGTGGTGTCCTTCTTGTGCTATTTCCTCATCTGTTTCTTCTCTCCCGCTTTCTCTCCTCTCCTTGTTCTCAACAGCGGAGTCTTTTCAAATCACATCTTTAGAAAAGAAAATGCTTCAAAAGGCAGAGACAATAAAAGACAGGATACCCACCAAGGGATGGGGAAGATAATTTCCTCACACGCGTCTGCTGACAACTTTGGCAAAGCTACATCCCTAACATCTGCATTAAATATTCCGCACCACAGGTGTGTGCTTAACATGGCTGTCAAGTAAATAACACTCAGAATCAGAAGCCCTGGGCGGCCAGGGACCAGCCCGGCCATCTACCGGGCCGGCTTTGTGGGAACCAGGGTGAAGGAGGCCCGGGCCGGGGCGGCACGGGGTAGATCAGCTTCCGCTCGGCAGCAGGGAGAGGGCTGGGGGCCTCGGGGAGAGGCGGCGCTGAGGGTTGCTTGCTCTTTCACAGCACGGCCCGAACGCCAGCCCTTGTTAATTCAGTCACGTGCTCTCATTCTTCTGCTTGACGAGACGAGAAAAATGAGGCTCTGAGTAGTTAAAGATTGGAGCCTAAGTACCTCAGCCTCCATTTCGGCGATGAAGAGGATGGACTAATGTTGCTTCTCATTCTAAAAGGGGCTGATTCTGTAAAAACCCTCCTTCCAAATTTACACACTGTTGCTGATGAGTGCGGCTGCCTTTCTAATTTCCGTGGGATGTGAAGGGCTTTCTAGCAATCTGCGGGCTGAGCTGAATGCCTCTTTGTGCTTTCTGTTGCGGCCTAAAATAAAAATCTTTAGAATCGCAGGAGAAGAAGGAGAAGAAGAAGAAGAAAAAACCCACCCTTCAGAAAAAGTCTCTGTGGAAGAAAAGTGCCTTCGCTGGAGCCTCTGTTCCACAAAAGGAGAAAAAAGATCTTGACATTTTCCCAGGCGTGAATGAGCAGGTGCGGTGATTGTAAGAGTTAATGACGAGAGAGCTCTGGGTAAGGACAGGATCATGACCCAACTTCTCAATGAGCTTAAGGGGTGAGGTACAGGCGGAACCTGGGATGCTGTTAGAGTTCTCAGGTGAGGAAGAAAAGAGCTGATTTAGTGAGTCTCCTACTCTACCTTTCTGCTCAGTAGCCTGCGGATCTATTTATGTGTCTATGTGTGATGAGTACAGTCTGTCCCATCTATTTCCCTCTAACTATCTGTCTATCTGTCTATCTATCTATCATCTATCCTATCTATCATCTATCATCTATCTATCCTATCTATCTATCATCTATCCTATCTATCATCTATCATCTATCTATCCTATCATCTATCCTATCATCTATCTATCCTATCTATCATCTATCCTATCTATCATCTATCATCTATCTATCCTATCATCTATCACCTATCATCTATGTTTCTATGTATCTATGTATCTATCAATCTATCATCTATATATCTACGTATGTATCTATCATTTAGATGACTATCATTGATACAGCTCATCTAGCTCCATCTCTATCAATTATCTGTCTCTGTATCTTCAGGCTGGAGATTCAGCTCAGCAGCACAGCACCTACCTGGCAAGCGCAAGGTCGTGAGTTCGATTCCTGGTACCGGAAGAGAAAAAACCAAAAAAACCCCCACAACATAACACACCTTCATCCAGCCCTCCACTGTCTCCCTGTCTTGCCAGCTTGCTCTGCGCCTCTTCTCATTTTTGTGTCTAGGGCTGGGATCACTTGCCCTAGAGATGAATAATGAAGTAGTTCTTCCCCCATCCATGGTGTGTCAATCTCTCTTGAGTGGACTATTCAGATAGTTTTATAGAATTAAAATTCCAAGTCTGCCCTGCAAGTTGAAGCCTACATCTATAATGGCTCCTAGGGGTGTTCAGAAATTCCAAGCCAGGTGATCAGCGCTGCTCACAGTGAAGACCTCGCCTCCGAAAGGTCCCTGGGGCTTTTTACTGTGATCACCCCCAGTGCCTGTCGCATTCAGATTCTCTTTGTCTCCTGAGACATGGATGGAATTCAGAGGCTGTGAAGTCCTGCAGAAGAGCTCCTAACACCCTGCCCCCCTCCTCAGGGAGCTTGAGGTCTTGGAGAGACCTGGGTTTGCTGAAAACAAATCCACTCATGCAACCTGCAAAAAGGATTCTTGAAGATCTTCGCTCCTGGCCTGGCTCATTTGATTGTGTCTTGGTTACTTTTCTCTCGTTGCTGGGACAAAATACCTGACGCCCAAAATGAAGGAAGGAAAGGTTTATTTCGCTTACAGTTTGTGGAGGTTTCAGTCCATACTTGGCAGATGACAAGGCAGACTGGCACATGGCAGAGGGCTACAGCTCATTGCCCAGAACACAGCAAAAGCAAGGAACACACACCAGGGCGGAATGGGGGAGGAATGCCCCCAAGCAGCTTCTTCCTCTCCCTTACATATGCAAACTATCCACTCCAGGGTGGTGCAGCTCTCACACCCATCTTCAAACTCTAATAGCCTGCCCAGGGCCGCAGGAGGCTTTGGGGGGACACACAGACATAAACCATAACAGATTGCTACAATTATTTCAGTACCTAGAGCTGACACATGTCAAGAACATAGGTGTTGTCACAAGCATTTTACATGTCTCAACACATTTAATTCTCAAAGTAACCCAATGGGGTAGATACTCTTCCAGCCCTACTTTTCATGGAAGGGGTTAATAAGGAAACTGATATCTTTTTGGTGGTAAGACAGACATCCTGCTTGGGGATTAAATAGACAAGGGAATCCAAAGAGTGAATTTCTGTCCTACCCACATTTTACTTTTAAATTCCCTACTGATATGCAAAAATAATTTAAAAATAATTTTTAAAATAGGGCATTAAGAATAAATAGGGCAGGGAAAAAATAGAGCAATGCCGGCTGGATTTGTAATCTTCTAGGGTTGAAGCAAGTAGACAAGGTGCTGACTGTCAACAGGTCATCATCCCCCGGCCACTGGCCTGATCCTAAGACAGCCGGTGGCTGGAACTCTTTGTCATTCTGAGGCCTGCAGTGCTGATGGCTTCTTGTCTTCTCTAGCACCAACCCCGCCCCCATGCATTCAAAAGTGCTGGGAGCCCAGCATGGTGTAATTCCCAGCAGTCCAGGAGGCCGAGTCAGGAGGATTGCAAATTAAAAGCCCAGCCTGAGCAACTGAGTGGCTTAGCAACATATTGTCGCAATAATAAACAAACAAACAAGTAAAATAAAAAAAAGGACTGGGGATGTAGCTCAGTGCAAAGGCCCTAGAGCAGTGATGGCGAACTTCAGAGACTGAGTGCCCAAACTGCGACCCCAAACCCGCTTATTTATTGCAGTATCAACACAACGCAATCAAACCTGAATAGTGAGGTTTTAGTTTAGAAAAACGACTTACACACTTGGCTTTCATGCCGAGAGAAAGGGCTCTGCATGCCCGCTGCAGCACGTGAGCCGGAGGCCTGCCACCACTGCCCTGAGCCCATATCCAGTGCCATAAAAAAAAGTGCTGGCTGACATGGAATCCTAGATTCCATCTATGCCCAACTTCTGTTGACCTTTCCTCTGAAAAGTTTTTTTTGGTTCATGTGTTAGTGATTTCTCTGTCACCGGGACAAATACCTGAGACAAACAACCTCTAAGAAAAAAAAAAAGTTATTTTGGCTCACAGTGTGGGAGGTTTTAGGCCGTGCTTACCTGGCCGTTATCTCGTGTCTGTGGCGGCACAGTACTTCACGGCAGAGGCATGAAGTGAAGCGGGCGTGGGAACAGAGAGAGGAAGGGGCGGCCCCGTTGTCCCCTGCAAGGGCGCCTCCCTAAGGGCCGGATCTTCCTCCCGCAGGCCCCGCCTTTTAAAGGGTCCACAGCCTCCCAGTAAGGACCAAGCCTTCAGCACACCGCCATCGGGCACGCTCAAGGTCCAAACTGTAAGAGCCAGGAAGCGGCCCCTCGTTATGGTTTAGATCTGAAAGGTGCCCCCCCAGAGCTGTGTGTTCAGAGGTGACCGGATCGTGGGAGTGCTGTGCTCGTCAGCGGATGAATCAGTTGTTGGTTCATGGCTGCATGTGCTGTCAAGAGATGGCACCTGTCAGAAGAGGTGGGTTCGCTGGGAGTGTGACCGGGAAGTGGCATTCCTTCCCGGCGCTTTTCCCGCTGCTTCCTGGCTGACATGGGTGAGAGCTGTCCTCTGCTGTGACCGTCTGGCATGCTGGTTCTCTCTGGAGCCGATAGCCCATGGACTGGACCCTCTGAAACCTAGAGCCAAATAAACCCCTTCTCAAGTTGCGGGTGTTGCGCGTTTTGTCCCCGTGATGGGAAGGTGACGAATATAGTCCAGGGCAGGGAAGGGAGCAGAAGGGAAAAGGGACCCAGGCCCCTGGCTGTGTTGCTTCTGCGTCCTTTGGCAGGGGTGGGGCTGGGGCGAGGGCGGAGGCAGAACTGAGCCGCCGCTTCTGCGAGGCTGGCCGCATCTCCGCCAGTGTGAGCTGCCGCCTGACATCGTCCTGGACAGCGCCATTAACCTCCCGTGCTTTGGGCTGAATTCGGCTTCTATTTTTAAGCCTTTAAACCGCAGCATGGAGAAAGGAGGCCTCTCTAGCGCAGGATATTGACAGATTATCTAAATTTAGAGGCCATGTGGAGTGTGATTTTGCATATGTCCCTTCCTGATGCCATCTGGCGCCAGGGCCCAGCACAACCCTGAGCATTCTCATGCGCCGTCCACACACAAGTGCGTGCACACACACACGTGCACACACCTCCCCTGTGCACCCCAGTGTGTCCCCAGCAGGTGACTAAGCGGAGCGAGCACAAGCGCTCTCCAGACGCGCTTGAAAATGGCTCCTTTCAGAAAGCCATGAAAGCATGAAAGCCGGCTGCAGCCCTCGCTCTGGGAGCCAGCGAGGAAATGTCATGCACCCGGCTCAGCGTTCTGAGGCACAACAGTTGCTGTGTGGGCCAACTCTGGCTCTGCCAAGCCTGTTTAGAGTAGGAGCTCTCGAGCTTCCCGTGCCAGAGCCCTCATTCTCTTCAAATTCCAAGAGGGAAACGTTGGGGCGACTTGACAGGATCTGACCACTAGATGGAGCCAAAGGTCTTTGAAAAACTTTGCGGGTGCGGCGCTCTCTCCACCCTCAGCGGAAGAAGCCTGAGCGAGAGGAGACCTTGATCATAAATCCCCCACGCTGTAGCAGGTTCATAATGCATCCCGGTGACTGTACGTTGTATTTTTTTCCTCCCTGAGAAATAAAATTTCTCTTTCAGTGGAGAAGGATGTTCCTTTACATCTAACATGTGCTACTGTTAAATCTCTCTCCTAAGAAGCCCGCAAACTAAGCCCTTAATGTGTGCTGACTGGGACATCTGGGCCGTGTCTGCAGTGAAATGTGGACCGAGAGCTCCAGGGACCGAGGACGCACCAGCCGCCGTTTCGGCAGCCTGGACAGGCAGGGTTATTTTTCCCCTATAAAAAAATGAACATTTGACTTGTCAAAAACGGTTTCTTATTGATCTGCTGAGACAGAAACTGCAGGTTAGAGAGACAAGTTTATAGAAAATCTTCGCTTTGCAAGAGATGCTAAGAGGGAAATGGTGACTAGTGGCCTTCATGTAAAAGGTGTTTATGAACTGGAGAGTGAGCGTAAGAATTAAACGCTGGTGGGAAGGCGCTGCTTGGCTGTGTTACCCTTGCTTCTTTCCCTGCCCTAGCTTTCCCTGTTAGCACAGTGGCAGAGATCACCGAGCATTAAAACACTGCTGAATGAGAAATCACCAGCAGAATCTATGTACAAAAGCACACAGAGGCCGGGCGTGGTGGTGCAGCCCTGTAATCCCATCCCGCAGGAGGCTGAGGCAGGAGGATCCCTGGGAGTTCAAGGCCAGCCTGGACTGCCTAGCAAGACCCAGGTTGTCTGAAAAAACCAACCAACCAACCAAACAAACAAAAGAACATAGTGCTGTGCATTCCTCTGCATCTCAATCTATGTATTCATTTATTTGTTTTGAGACAGGGTCTCACTGTGTCCAGGGTGCCCTGGACCTTTAGGTCCTCTGCCACAGCCTTCCAAATGCTGGCTTACAGACCTGTGCTCCACGTTCTGTTCCAATTTATTCTGCATTTCAGTGCTGCTCTTAACAGTGCCACAGGACAAAAAGGCCTGGAGTTTCCTGATTATGACGCGCATTTTGACACCTGGTTCGTGACCACTTGACATGTTGGTTGTTTATCAGAGGCAAAGAGGGAGATTAGAAAAAAAGCCACAACAGAAGAGACAAAAACACGTAAGACTTAATTTGTTGCTGAGCTACATTCCCTTTGAACTCTCTCCTGTCTTACCTTCATCGCTAATTCTCCAAACTGATTTCTTGGAAGCGCATTAGGAGGGCAGATGTCTCAGTGTCTCCTTACTCCTGGGTGCCCAGCACTGGGCATTGCGTCTGGTGGCTTCTCGCACCGCTTACCCCCCGAGCAAGTGCCAGCTGTCAGGCCTGGCACCGTGAGAACACGTTTGAATTGCTATTTCTCGGGGGTCCCATTCTGAAGTCTTCTGATTTCACATGACCCTGCCGGGGGCAGAGGTTTACTTAGAGTTCTGGAAGAAGTTTAAGATTTGAAAAAAATAGGATCAACTGCTCCAAACCCTCATTCCAAAAAGTGGGGAAGAATCCTGAAGACATTTAAAATATTTTCTTAGTGGGGCATGGTGGTGCACGCCTGTAATCCCAGCACTTGAAAGGCTGAGGCAGGAGGATTGTTGCAAGCTCAAGGCCAACCTGGGCTACAAAGTGAGTTCAAGACAAGCCTGAATTGCATAGTGAGACCCTGTCACAAAAAAAGACAAAAATAAATAAATAAATAAAAAGATTTATAAATATTTTCTTGGTTTTTAGTAGCAAGTTTATCATAAGTCAGAGGAGGCATTTACCCTGCCAATATTTTTCCCTTCCAGAATGATGGTGTTTTTACTGGTTTCTGTAATGTTAAATAGTCCACTCCATACTCAGTCCAGGCCCACGAGGCCATTGGCAGAAGGGATGGGGTCAGACGCTGCATATGCATGTGTAGACTCCAAGATAAACAGCGCAGTGACTCTCAAGGAGGTGAGAGAGGTGCTTCCTTTCACCTTCCAGAAACAGAATCATATGGGAAGCAGGTGATGCGTTTCTCTCTCTCTTTAACTGCCCTCACCTACCTGCAGCGCTTCTCCGCCTGGTCCCCAAAGTCCTCTCACTGGTCTAGGGGGCCCACCCCCTGTTCCCACAGGACACATTCCAGCACGGCTTCCTCCAAAGATACCTCTTTGTAGCTCTCTCACCAAAATTCTCTCTCCTGTCCTCATCGGAACGCAGGGACCAAGGGTTGTGGAGAGGGTTCTGGGGTTGACTCTGTAACTACACGAGGGCGGACTGCCCTGGTCATTTTCCTGCCATGCACCGGTATGTTTTTACTTCTCAGTCAGAGCGGAAGCAAAGTCTCCTCCTAGTGATCCACTCCATGAGGAGTGAAGCAGATTCTGAAAGCAAACATCAAACAAACAGACACAGACAGAGGATAAGTCCCGCCATGGGCAGCTGGTCGACCTGGGTGTACCCACCATGGAGGACAAGTCACCTCTGAGGTTGTGTGCTAAGCCGGTCACAGAGTCTTATCATAACTACTACCAAGAAAGATGAAACCCCTCCCTCCTCTGTTTCAATGTACTTTCTGGAAAGAGTGCTGCAGTTTCCAGAACTGATAGCGAGTGATCATCGAGCACGGGGAGCTGTTCCTGTTTGCTCCGGCACCGGATCCTGCTGCAGGTGTTGGTGCGAACAGCCAGCACTCTGAGGGGACAGTGCTCGCTGTGTGAGGATAAATAACGACAGACCAAGCAACTTCTAACACACCACTGATGGGATGGCGGGGAGAGGGGGCTACAGAAGGCTTGTGTATGTGCAGTGTGTGTGTCTCTGTAGTATGTGGTGTGTGTGCATAGCATGTAGTATCTGTGTGTATGCATGTGGTACGTGGTGTGTGCCGAGTGTCTGGTGCATGTGGATATTATGTGAGGTGCATTTACAGCATGTAGTGTGTGTGGTGCATGGTGTGCATTGCGAGTTTCATGTGCGTGGTATGCAGTGTGTGTGTGGTATAGGCTGGTGGGTGCTGTTGAGTGTGGGTTATGGTGCGCATCGTGGATTGTGTGTGGTCTGTGTGGCGTCTGGTGTGGAGTGTGCTGTCTGTGTGTGTGTGTACATGTGTGCATATGTGCCCCCAGCTGGGCCGAGTGTTCACAGCATTAATCAGACACGGACATCCCAGGTGGAGGGAGGGACTTACTAGCAGTGCAGAGCTGAGGTTGGGTCAAGAGTGGGTGTGGACAAGCAGGATCCTTTCCACTCAGATTTCTCATCAGGAAGGCAGCTATGCGTGCAGCAGGGAGCAGACCCACAGCAGGGGCAGGTACTCCACTGCCCTTGGGGCTCAGTGGTGTCACATCTGTGGTGCTGGGTCCTACTCCAGTCCCAAGCAAGGCTCGGCTTTGCCCACGCTGACCCTGCAGCACCCTCGTCCTCTGTGGCTCAAAGCCGAGTGCTGCAGGACAAGGTGCTGGGGTCTGTGCTGTGGGAGGCCTGGGCAGATGCCAGAGAGCGCCTTGGTATCCTTTGGGGACATCGCTGGGACGAGGCGCCCTTGGTGATGGGTGGTCCTGTCCTCTTGCGGCCACTTCCCCACTTCTTTCTGGGGGCTCAGACTTCTCTGCCTCAGCTCTCCTGCCCGTGTGGTATCTTCTCCCCTGCCCA